CTCCAGTAGTGCCAAGCCTTGCTCTCCCAAGAGGTCCAGAATGGGTCCCTCTGTCCCAACCTGTCACTCTCCAACCTGGTGGCAGAAGCTGAAAAGAGCCAAGTGAGCTGGGAGGGTTGTGGGAAGTCCACATGCCCCTAAGAACATCCCAGCTCCAGGTCCTCGTGGTGAGACATCCGAGGCTCTGCCCACCCATCATGGTGACTCGCTGTGTTGCAGTTTGCGGGAAGCCCTGGTGCAATGCGGGAAGGAGCACCAGAATGACCGCACCATACCCAAGTACTACGTCTCCTACCTGCTGGCCATGCTCAACAACAACCTGGCTCTCAGGTAACATGCACCACCACCTTCTAGCTCTTGTAGCCACCCCACTACCCTCAAGGAAGCCCCATCCTCCCCATCCCCCTGGGGCCCAGTGTCCCCACCATGTTTCCCAGGCTGCCTGTCCCCTCCCATCTTCTCTCTCTCCTAGCTCTTCTGTCTCCTCTCTGCACCCTGACGCTGCCCGCAGAGAAGTCCCTGCATCCCTCCGGGCTGCTCTAGACAGGACACAGAAGAAAGCCTGCCAGCTGCTGCTGGAGGAGCTGCTCCTGGACCTGCAGGTACATTTGTCCACAGCCCCCAAGGCTGGCAGGGCTGCAGGAAACCTGGCCCCAGCAAGAACAGCACTACCAGAACACCCCAGGCACAGGTTTCTTCCTGCCCAGGGGCCCGCTATCATCCTGCAGACGTCTCTGCCAACCTGGGCCCCAGACCTTGATAAACCACCTGCAGCTCACCCCGTGTCTGTCACCAGCCAGCACCACCCTGTATCGCTGGGACAGATGGCTTGTGGCCCCCAAACCACTAACTGACAGAGCCCGGGAGCCCCAGCCCTCCGGGCTGCCTCACGCTCCTTTTTATGGCTGTTTCATGGCAGAAAACCAACAGGAGAGAAGCAGTGTCCGTGCAGAGGATACAAGCCCATGTGTGACTGCCCCAGTCATTTCCTGCCAGCGTAGTCAAATTTAACTTTCCTGGAGTCCGGACTGAAAATCTGGGATAATTAATGGCTTTGCTATTTAGGGCTTGAATGGCATGAAAACAAAAGAGCAGCTAAAGGGTGAAACACTCTCAGGCAGCGTGGAGACTGCCCATAGTAGAGACATAGAGGGAATGTCTGCCTGCAGGCAGGAAGACAGGCAAGGACAGCAGGGCAGGAGGAGGAGGTCAAAGCCCTCTGCCAGAAACATGTTATGTCTACAGAAGGAAAGTGGAGAGAAGTGGAAATTAAAAACAAAATCACAATAGGACAGGCCAAAAGCGAGTGTGTGAGGAGCAGCTTGCTGCCCAGACCGCAGGTGCTGCCCATGATGGGGCATCATGACCTAGATAAACCTGCAAAATGTGGATCTCTGGGTGTCAGGGAGGGACAGTCCCAGCGTATTTTCATAATTTCCTAATTTAGACCACTCTTCTATTTTTATGTTGAGTTTTGGCTGCTAGCAAGTGCTTGAGGGTTTTGCAAGGCCAAGCAGCAGCTGTGGGACATGGTGCCGCCCCGCAGCTGCTGCGAGAGCCATGCGATGCGATGCAGGGCACCGTACGCTGCTCCTCTGCTTCTTTCAGCCCCTCTGCCTGCAGCTGCCTTCTCGTAAGTGGCTCTGCGGGTCCCAGCTCATCAGCAGCATGTGCGAAGTGATTGACAAGTATGCAAAGAACTTCTCCCGCGTCAGGAAACCCCTCTACACGGTATGGTTGCTGCTGGGGATCCTTCGAATGGCTGCTTGTCTGTAGGGCAAGGAGGATGGGGAGTTGGGAGCCATGCTGGGGTGCAGGATGCAGGGGATGCAGTTGCTGCTGGGTTTGCTGGAGAGCCCATATCCTCCGGAGCAGCACCGTCACACAGAGATGTTCTGGGTTTCCCCCAAATTCAGCTGCTTTCTCTGTCCCTCCAGCCATGGGGCTTCCCATCAGGCTGTCCCCACTGCTTGGTGCTGCATCCAGCCCCTTTCCCTGGGTCTGAGACCCAGGCAATGCCCTGTGCTAACAGCTCTCCCCTGCCCAGCTCCTGCTGATGGAGAGCGAGCTCCTGGTAACGAGCCAGTACCTGCGTGCACTCATGCAGAAGAAGATGGTGTGCAAGAGCGAGGAGGAGCGGGGCCAGCTCTGCGACCGCCTGCTGCAGGACGCCACGCAGCTCCGGGAGCTCTTCTGTGGCCTGGTGAGAGCTGCTCGAGTGTGGCGGGGAGCCGGCCACTGCAGTGGTCTTCTCCCAGTCTCACATGTGCTTGCTCTCCTTGCCAGGGTGTGGACCAGAGCCAGCAGAGCCTGGAGGCCGTTTTTGCTCTGCGGGAGCTGATCTGCCTCAAAGACCCGGCACTGCTCAGCCTGGAGGTGCTGGGCTTCGCCACCAAGTACCCCGACATCAGGTAAGGAGCCCAGCTCGGTTCTCTTGTGAGATGGGGTAAGCATGAGTCTGTCCAGGGGAGCCAGCCTTAGGCTGGACCCTGGAATGTTATGCTGCAGAGTAGACAGAAACCTGGGCTTTCTTCCCCTCCACCTTAAGGTTTTCTTTTCCCATGGCTTCAGATTTGAGGGGTTCTTGCAAAGTCCCAAGGCCAAAGATGTAAAAAAAAAAAAGAGCAGTTCTGCTGTGGCATTCACCCATCTGTATTTGGTAGCCAAACAAAGCATAAGCATCCAAAACACCAAATTGGAAATGTCAGAATTGGCCCAAACCCATGAAATGTCAAAACTCAATTCACAAGGTTTGTGGGGTTCTTTTCAAGCAAATTTTAAAGCTTGGCTGGTGCAAAGTACCAGCTCTGCCCTGGCCTCAGCTCAGCCTCCCTGGATCACGGGGGGGTTTGCAGGACACGAGCACTGTGGATGGTGTCGTGGGCCAGCTGCACCCAGACTCACCTCTCACTCTCTGCCCAGTGACGAGCACATCTCCACCTTGCTGGATCTCCGGGGCGACGTCTCCAGGGAGGTGCGGCACATGGTGCTGGAAATGATGGCGCAGCACCCCCAGGTCCTGCCCGAGAGCTACCGGCCCATCTTCAGCACCATCCTGGTCCCCGCGCCAGAGCTGCCCTTCTGCCTTCGCAAGGGCAAATGTGCCTGATGCTGCACCCCACAGCCTGCTCCCCGTGCAGAGACCACGCAGGACGTCTCTGAGGCTGCACATGGGGTGGATGAAGATGACGCGTGGCATCCCCTAAGCTCAGCACCTTGCCCTGTACTGGGTGCAGTCTGGATACATGGCACCCTCTTCTGCTCTTGCCTCGCTGAGCAGACTGTTCCCCGCAAGCACCAGACCCAGGATCAGGAGAAAATCAACCCATAGCAATTTAAGGCTGCTCAGTTCTGGCTTATTGCCTGCAGGAGAAAGAGGAGCCGCAGAGCAAAGGGCAGGAGGCTGCAAATGTGGTGAGTCCATGTCTCTGTGGGGCTGCAGAGATATTTGGGTTTCCCCAAGTCTCCAGACAGCCCTCTGAGCCAATGGATCCTGGCCATGGATCCTGTCATCACCCCAGAGCCAAGAAACCCTGCTTGCAGGAGGGTTTTAGCCGTGGGAAGTCTTCCTCTGTTTTGGCTCATCCCACAGGTCTGGTGTTGCTGCTCCACCAGCCCTGGCCCTGCATGGAGGGCAGCGAACAGCTCAGTCAGCTCATCGCGACTCACAGCCGCAGAGGAAAAGGACATGAGGGTGTCTCGCCACCCTGGGTTGTGCCATTGACCCTGTCCCTGCTGGTGTGCAGGGACAGCTCTGGCTTCC